ATCCTGAGATCCTGTACCTCAGATTGTAGAACCTTTGTCAGTGTCAGCCATGTGGATGAGTCATGGCCATTGCTTGGCCAATGTGCTCTCTGTGAAAGCTTGAGAGGAGATTTTTGCTTTCATAAACACAATTGATTGGTGTTTGGATTGATGGCAGTATGTCTTTTACAATTGAGTTAACTAGCTTTTTAGAAATTGATTAGAAAATTGGACTATATATATGTAATATCAAAGGAACTTACTTAAAACCTATTGAAGTTTTAAAAATAATATTTACCTATCAATATAATTAAGACATTATATGTTACATATACTCAATTACTATATATTGTAATCAATATACGTTATGTGTTTATGTATTAGTGTCCTTTGCTTTCCTATCTTTTAAAGGTTTGGTTTATTGATGACCTTAGCACTTCTGAAATAACAGTGAAGTTGTTCTTTTTACTTGAAATACCCAAAACAAAATGTTAGTATTTGTCTTGTTTCTTTAAAACAAAACACAGCACTTATAAGCTTTGGAAATCATGATCCAGAGAACTTTTAAAGTACTATTCCAGGCCATTTGAGGACTAGTAGTTTATCTTGAATTGTTCTTATTTATTTTTGTCTTTTTGAGACATAGTGTTGCTATGTAGTTCAGGCTGCCCTTGAGCTCACTTTGTAGCCTAGGCTGGTCTCGAACTTGCAGTGATCCTCCTGCCTCAGCCTCCCAAGTGCTGGAATTACAGGTGTGTACCGCCACGCCTGGCCCCGAGATGTTCATATTTAAAAAAGTATTCTGGCAGTTGTTCTTGCCTCGCCTTTTCTTAGAGAGACGCTTCGTAATACCCTGCAGTGTTGATCCCTTTTGCTTTCCTCTTGATTTACTTAGTTCAGATTCCAAAAACGAGCTACCTCTCAAAGAAAATTACATTTTAATTTTGGCACTTGAATTCCAAAAATGTGTACTTTAAGAAGATGGTAAACCTAAGCAGTGTCAGAGCTATTGCCACAGTTTATCCAAGGTTGTGTTGTTCTGATGAAGCCTTTCTCTGCTCAGCCTCTTCTTTGCTGTCAAAGGCAATGATTCTTTTTCTCTTTGGTTTCACAGACTCCATTAAAGTGTTTTTCCAGTGATGATAGAAGTCTGAGGAAACTGTCAGTGCTTTCTGCCAACCTCACATTGATGATCGTGTCTAAGAAATATCAGGAAACTTAAAAATACCTTGTAATCTTTTAGAGGACTTCAAAAGCTAATGTTTGGTACTATTTAATAAATAAGCACTACCTACCATTTGAGATGGAAAAATTCTATAGCCTGTCCTGAGAGTGAATGAAATTAATGCACATTAAAGAATGATTCTGAATTGTGTTTCTTTTAGAAAGTTTTATTTATAACTCTTTCTGCTAGTTTATAGAAGATAGTCTGTTCAGTGTCTGACTTTGCAATTTGTCAATTATCTATGTACTTTTTTTTTTTTTTTTACTTTCAAGACTATTTCTCAGAGCAGTTTTTGTTTCACAGCAAAATTAAGAGAAAGGTGCAGAGACTTCTCATATACCCCTCCCCCGACACACACATGCATAGCCTACCCCCAAAATCAACATTTTCCCCACCAGAGAGGTTCATTACTTTCAGCAAGTGAACTCACAATGAATCAGCCTCACCCAAAATTCAGATTTTACAAAAGCTCGCTCTTGATGTACATTATCTATGCACTTTTTATTCTACTATATATTTCAGCATTTTCTGATCAATTATACCTTGAGTATAAACACATACAGAGAAAAGGAAAATGTGATGGTAAATGATGGGCTAATTGATAAGTTGTTTATAATAGGGAATCATGAAAGCATATATATTTTAAATATTTTAACTTGAAATCTGTAACTTAATTTTCTAAGCTTTGATGTTGGTCCAAGGCCTTGTGTTAATCTGTATCTTGGTCTTTCTAACATACACTTCACTTATAATGTTTTACTTTTTCATTATGTTTAGAATATAATATCTTAAATTCCTACCTATGGTATAAAACTATAATATCTTGCCGCTTACCAGTTTCTTTTAAATCTATTCTTTGGCTTTCTGTGATCAAGTTATACTGGCTTTTCAATCTGATCTTTGCTTTAGAGTCTATCTGCTGTTCTAGAGACCTGACACAGTCATTTAAATTTTGACTGGCTCAGATCTTTCCAGGTCATCATTTCAAATATTCTGTTCTCAGAGGACAGTCTTAGCTTTTCTAAATACAGAATTCGATAATATTCCACAATAAAGTAGGCAACTCCACTTTCTCCAACCCCACTGAAACTGAAGTTATTTTCCTTTATATTGCCACATTTGATAATTATGTATTTATGAGTTTATTTGTTGAATGCTTGCTTTTTTTCCCCTCACACCATTGAAGACAAGGGATGTTAGATTTGTCATATTATCGTAGCCTGTGCTTAGGACAGTATCTGGTATTAAAAATAAGATGTGATATGGTAATTAATTGCATATCATGTATTTATTAATTGCATATATTGGAGAACATTAATAAAAAGCCACTCTATTAGCTTATAATACATCTTAAATGGAAATGTCTGCATTATATTTAATAAAATTTGAGACAGTTCAGAGTTTTTCAGATGCTAGTACTGGAAACAACATGTAAATTTTATACTAAAATAAATAGAAACTTTAAAAACATGAGGAAGTATCCTTTTAAAAATAGTCGTTCTGGGGCTGGGGAGATGGAAAGGGTCTGAGTTCAATCCCCAGTTCCGCCAAAAAAAAAAAAAAAAAAGAAAAAGAAAAATAGTCGTTCATCTGTTTTTCATTGATACTATGTTCAAAAATCTGATCATCTTGGTAAATTTTAAGGATCTACCATAGGAAGGCCACAGGCAATTTATAATGACATTCTTTTACTAAAGTAATTAAAATATTCCATATGATTACATCATATAATAATTTTTACTCTCTAGAGAACCAGATAGATTTAAAAATATGGAACTGGAAGTGGCACATACATAATTAAAGCCAAACTAATATATTGCAATTCTGATATATTATGTCTTAAATTCTGTTGCCTTTTAATATGTACTGGAAGGCATTATTTGTAAAGGGTTTTTCTGTTTAATTATGTTTTTATTTTTGCATGGCCAGAAATTCTTTGATGTGGTAGGGCATTCTTAATATATAAAGAAAGAAGTATGTGAGCATTTAGTCTGTGTAATGTGGTTTCTTGACTATGGGTAAGGAAATAAGTCTTTTAAATTCTGGTTGCTATGAACGGTATTTGGACTTGGTACTTGGTGGGGTTGTATAATGTAACCCAAATTGTTTGAAGTTCTCTACACTGGAATGATCTTACTAGTGAGAGTATTTTGGTCTTTGATCCATTTATGCTCAACAAATGTTTTGTGGTGTACATATTTCTTATACTTACAGGGAGCTGAGAATTCAAGAATGAATGAAGTATGGTTGCTCTCCAGGGGAAATAATTACAACTGATGAGGTATGGATAATTAATTGGTGATTAAAAATAGGAATATAAAATATACAGTGTCATAAGCACTATAGAGAGAGTGGTTGGATTTTTTTTGGAGAGTTGGAGATTTACAGATTTGTTAATCCAGACATTGTTAATTATTTTTTTTACTCCCTGTCCCCAGTTTTTGTAAAACAGAGCTTCTTAAACTGTCAGCAAATAATTAGTAAGACAGGGTAAAGGAGTATTCTTTGGGCTATACCTTAGAATAGATTTGAAATGTCTTAAATTTTCTTTTATCTGAAGAATTAATGTGAAGTTTGTATTTTACTCATACTGTTTATAGAAATGTAAAATATTTCAATTACTACCAGGAAAAAAAAAACCCAAACACATGCTGCTTGTCTGTTAATTCTGGAAAATTAGTGGGCATAGTGGCATGTGTCTATAATCCTAGCACTTAGGTCTGGTCAGGAAGAGTGCAAGAAGAGTTTGAGGCCAGTTTGAGCTACATAGTGAGACCCTGTCTTGAAAAAAAAAACAAAAACAAACAAAAAAAAAAAAAAAACAAAAAAAAAAACACATTTTGGAAAAGTAGAGTGAATGAAGAGAGCTATCACTACATATCAGCTTTAGTGGTCACCTTTTTCTTAGTGTATACCCACTATATTTCAGTGCATGCCTGGGGATTTATGTAACTTGTTTGAGAAAAAGCAAACAGGTCATATAGATCCTGGAACATTACATTCTTTTTCTTCTTGTTTGTAGTATGGCCATAGTAGAAAATTACTTTGTTGGCCTTACAAATTGGGCTAATACTATGTGCCCGTAGATTTGTGTAGATGGTATCATGTAGTAGCTGCTCATTAATATTTATTGCTTGCTTTCTTTTTTCTTCCATATTTCTGTTGCTTTTTTCCTCCTTTGCTTTATCCTTGTTTTTTTTTTTTTTTTCTCCTTTTGTGTGTGTATAGTTGGTACAGGGTATCAGTATGCAGCTCAGACTTGTAGTGATCCTCCTGTTTTCAGCCTCCCCAGTGCTGAGATTACAGGTGTGTGCCACCATGCCTGGTCTCAGTGGCCGGCTGAGCATGCCTGGGGGTAGGGCTGGCTTAGTCTGCTGAGCTATTTTGCTCTCTAGCCTTGGTCTTATAACTGTTGTACCATGGCAGCTTGCTTTATGCCCAGTGGTTTTTTATTAGCTGGTAAGCAGAATAATGGTAGATGATACCTTGACAGTAACCAGGAAATTTCGTAGATTAACAGAGACAAGGCAGGAGGAGTTAGTTCATAGGGAAATGACCAGATTTAACTAATCAAAATAAGGGAAGGTCTGAGAAGGCTCTTACATTAATAAATGGAAAGATGGTATTAGATTGTAGAACTGAGTATACAAGTAGACAAGCACCCAATTTCTGAGTAGCAACAAAAGTAGATGGTACTGACCTAGTTTTTTTTAAAGTATTAACATGCAAAATATGAGACCAAATAGCCTGAAAATTTCATAAATTATGTATTTGTTTAAGAATATAGTTAAACATAAAATATAAGTTACTGGCTTATCTTATGAACAATAGGATCATTGGAAAAGTAGAGTGAATGAAGAGAGCTATCACTACATATCAGTTTTAGCAGTTACGTGTTTCTTAGTGTATACCCACTATATTTCATTGTATGCCATCTCTATGGTTCTTTTGACATCATTAGTATATTTCATTAGCTGTAGCTGTTTGATCTTTGAATCTCTTAAATCTGCTTGTTTTTCAAAATTTCATAACAAAGAATTGGGCCATAGTTAATACAACATCTATCATCTTCAAAGTGATTACTCAGTGAATGATATAGATAAAAAAGATTCTCTTTTACAAAGAGGAAACAGAATAGCATAAAACTTTTTCTTCAGTGAATGAAAGAGAAACTAGTGATAAATGATTATGTCTAATGTTTAGGGTTCTTTTCTTTATTTTGTTTAGTTTCACTTATTGTGCTTTTCATTTCCAGAATTTCCATTTGGTTCTTCAGAATTTTTCTTTGTTGAATTGCTTCTTAATATTCTGCATTGTCTTCCTTAATTTGTTGAACTGTTCATTTGTATCCTCTAGGAAAGTTATTAGTCGTTTAAAAGTCAATATTTTGAATTATTTTAAAAAATAATTTTATAGAGAAACAAATAGCAATGAGACAGTTTCAAAACTGATTCCTAGCATAGTTTCAATAATTAATACATTGTATATTGTCTTAGTGGTTATTCATTGTACAAGATGCAGACATGATATCCTGTCCATAAACACTATTAGAACAAATTTCTCTAGTCATTAAATTAAGAGAATGCAGCTGTATATCTGTCCTGTTTTGAATATACAGATAGAAAATGGTGGTTCATTTGTATCCCCCTTTTTTGTTTAGTTTTGTCAGAGAAGGGTATTCCATTGCCATTTAAATATTGTAGGTGTGTGAATTTAGTAAAATATTCCAATATAGTCCAGTAGTCCATAGTCGTATTGGGTTTTCTGTAAGATTGGCAATGTCAGAAGTTGTTGACTTGAGCCTTTTACAGCACAGCATATTCATGTGGCTTTACTTTTTATGCTTTGTTTTTATACTTTTCTGCTGGATGGTTTAGACCAAGACAAAGCAAGACCTATATAACAAAAAATGTAACTTTTGTATCTGATAAGGTTAGTCAAATCCTCTTAGCATTTATCTTGAAACCCTGTACCACAGTTTGTAGATCCTTTGTCAGTGTCAGCCATGTGGATGAGTCACGGCCATTGCTTGACCAATTTGCTCTCTGTGAAAGCCTGAGAGAATGTTTTCTCTCCATGTGACTCTCCTTAGGCACACTGTATTTACATCATCGATCTTTTTCCTCTGTGGCTCCATAATCTCCTTGATCAGAAAATTTGGGACACAACTGAATTACATGATGTTACAGTATAGGTTGTCCTATGTCCTGAGTCTTCATGGACCTTGAAAGGCTAGGGTCAAAATGTTGGCTGACCTTGCAGCCCTTCTTTTTCTATAATTTTTGGTCTGTGAAGTTAGGTTGTTAACCCTCCAGAAAAGAAGCTTTTTATTATTACTCTACAACATAGGCAGTTGAGCTTAACCTCACTATCTATCTGAATATCAAACATCTGAGGCATAACATGGAATCTTTTGAATTTTTGTCTAGCATTCCATCCACTTAGATAGATAGCTTTGCAGTTAGTTGCTGACAAACTGAACATTTTGAGGAATTATATTGCCATATTTTTTATATTTTTATGTTTCTATATTGAAATTTTTACATCTGTTTTGATGAATATTTCTTCCATTGTTATTTGAGGGCTTCCTTATTGTTTAGCCTTCTTTATATTCTTGACCCCCAGTACTACTCAGAGAGGAGAAAATGAACTGGTAATGTCACTGTTACAAAGACAAATGAGATTGATGTATCACAAAAACCAATTAAAAGCAATAGCTGTAAAAAAAAAAGCAATAGCTGTGCCACCATTAAGAACAGAAATCCACATTAATAAAGTAAACTCAAAGAGAAAACAGATTTTGACATATATACTACCTATCTTTCTTTCTTTTTGGTTTTTTTGAGCAGTGTTTCATTGTGCAGTTCAGGATTCAACTCATTTTGTAGCATAGGCTGGCTTCTAGTACACAGTGATGCTACAATAGGCTCTGGAGATTACATACACATGCCACCACATCTAGTTGGGTAATATCATTTTAACCAAAGTAGATTATCAGCTGAGAAGATTATTGAAGCTATTTCCACTAGTGCTGCAAACTATGTTTTGAAGAATATAAATTTGGTTATGCTTAGTTTATGCTACTCTAGTACTTCAGTATTTGTAATATTTAAATTTTCTATGCCTTATTTTTTTTTTTAATTTGATCTTTTTGGGACTGAAAATTCTTGTTTTTTCTTCTATCTTTGTTTTGTAGTCAACTTTGTGGTTCAGTGGTGGAGTATGTACTTAGGCCCTGGGTTGAGGCTTGAGGCCCTGGGTTCAATCCCCAGCACTGCAAAAAGAAAAAAAAAAAAAAAAAAAAAAAGGAAAAGTTTGGTCTTTTTATTTCTAATAATTATGGCTGCAGTGTTATTTGGTGCATAAAGTTTTAGCTATGTTTTCTTTTGCTTTTTTATGAATGACCTTCATAGATTACATTGCAATGTTCTTTACCTTGAGAAAAGATGAAGTCTTCTCAGTGTGTCCTGTTTCTCTTCCATGCTTCCTAATTTAAGGTCACTGTGCTTATTTGGAAGTTTTCTTGTCTTTGTTTTGGTAACCATCAAGGCCACTATTTCGCATGTCTTTTTTTTTGACTTAGAAGAAGGTGTTCACTTTGGTCATTGTTTTTGTTCTAACCTGCTCCCCAGCAGTATGGTAGTTTTAGGTACTGTTCGTTAGTTGTGATTCTTGAATCATTTTTTTTAGGTGTAATATAGTATGCTAGATGCCAAACAATAAATTTCTTTTGGTGTGTGGTTTTTTCTTTTTTTGGTTAAATTAACTTCTCAAGTTATTATTATCTTACTTTTTCATTGTTGTACTTTGTTTTTTTTCTTTTTTCTTTTTTTTTGACAGAACCGGGGATTGAACTCAGGCCCTTACGCTTGCCAGGGAAGCGCTTATTCCACTGAGCCATCTCCCCGGCCCCTCATTATTATACTTTGGTAAATTTGAAATATATACAGAAAGACAGAGACTCCTTAATAACCATACTACCATTTTCATACTCAGAAGTATAATTCCTTAAAATTGTTAACTGATTATAGTGTTTTCACTTTTTTTTTTTTTAGCAATAGTGGGGAATTTGGAAAAGAAATCTCTGATATTTTAATTTACTTTGTCTTTATATATATATATATATATATATATATATATTTATTTATTTATTTTTTGGCTGGGGAGTTAGCTCAGTAATGGCCTGAATTCAGTTCCCAGGTCTGGAAAAAAAAAAAAAATCAAGTACTTTGTCTCTTAAAAGTTATCTCTTCTGAGGCCAGGAGTATTTTCTTGAGTTCA